GCTTAAACTAGAGCATACTTTTTAGACTATTATTTAGTGTTGACCTGAAAACAACTTTGTTGTTTATCTCTGAATGTCTTGCTTCAGGCCCTTCACTGAATAAATTTGAGTCCTCAGCCTTTTTTACCTGACTGATCATTTACAGACTGAGCAAGATACTTAAATTTTTCTCAAAGCTCAATAAATAGAGGTTTGGTGTGGTGGTTTTTTTCCCCACTGCAAGGTGTAGCTGTCGTGTTCTGTCAATTTTTGAACGCCTGATTTATCAGCTTTTTTGCTTTACAGACAACAGAACAAGGACGCAGTTTCCTGGCAGTGATAAAATCCACTCTATATTTACTTTGTATTTCCTTATTTCTGTATTCAGTCTCTTCTGTTAACTCTTCCAGTCAGTGTTGTGTCATGTGTTCCTTTTCAGCTCATCAGTGTCGTAAATCTCAGATTTGTTTTAAGATTGCGTTTTTGCAGAATAGTCTTGCATTTGTTGTCTATCACCTATGTTTTCTGCTTGTGAGTCTTTCGATTGTATGCTTGGCCTTATTAAATACAACCTGCTATACTGGACCGAGTAATTGAATAATTCATAATGGTATCATTGAGGTGTCATTTCCATTATTTACCATATCTGTGTTTGTCATCCTCAGGTTTTAGAAATTATGTGGGCCAATGTTACAGATTCTGTAGAAGTAGAGGATAGCTTCTTACCTTTTACTCTGTTTTGAGAACATTTTGCCTTCTGAGATGGGTTGTTGTAAATTCTTTAGAAGGGAAGGATAAAAGAAAAAATAGGTTTCGATGATCTGAGACTTTTTACGTGGTTCTGAATGGCTCTGTCCTTTTTACCATTCTGCTTAATTGAAATGTCCTGCAGAAGTTAAAATTTATTTCGCCTACTTGCTTGAGCAATGAAATTTCTACTCTTACAAAAGTATATTTTGATTGAATGTCTTCCGAAAATCCATGTTGGCTGGCCTTAATTATGTCAGTGTCCTTTAATCAATGTTGTCTGCTTTAGCCAGTGATTAATATCAAACAGACTGGTAGGGTAGCCACCTGAGTCATCCTGTTTACCACTGTACTTAAAAGGTAGTTTGCCTACAGTTCTGGATCTTCTTTAATATTTCAAGAATCAGAGAAAATGAACATTAATTATTCACTCAACCTGTTATAATTATTCACTCAACCTGTTAATGTTTTTAAAAACACAGTAACTAGCTCTGAAATTATCTAGTTCTAGTAGCTCTCTGGGGAATGTTTTCTTGCTTGTGGAAGGTGAATTTCTGTTGTCTTGATGTAATGTTGCTGTTGCATGGTGGAGTCCTGCTGTTAAATTCCTGTTCTAAGTTTATTTAAGGAGAACCCAGTTCCTTGCACTTAAATCTGCTTGGGTTAGATTTCTGTTGTGTTCCTTGGTTCTCAAATTTTTCAGCCAATTCCTAGGTTAAAAAAGGTGTTCCAAACCTAGAGTAGCAACAGAACTACTCTGAAAGGAAAGGATATTTTTCTTCCTAAATGTGTCTCATCAAACAGTAGACCATTTAAAAATAAAATAGCTGTGTAGGAAGGATCAGTGGTACATCTTTTTTTCCAAGGTTTAGGTTTCCAAAGTTAATAAAAACCCTAAACAAGCAGCAGCCCCAAAACAATAAATTGCAGTGACAGTCCAAATCCTTAATTTTTTTGTCTGTAGGAAAGATAAGATGGGCAGACTTGAATGCAGACATTGCCTAGACGCAACTTGGGGTGCTGAGAATCAGTTTATCTAAACCAGCAAGACATCTTTGTGAGACAGATTGCCACGTGAGCCAACAGAATTCTGTAATGGAAGTGCAGGAATTCAGCATTGCCTGAAAAATCTTGAGTGCCTGTAAGGTACAAAGCTTAAAATGGCAATTTTGTTTAAATCCTTAGGTTGAGCAAAGTCTAGAAAGCATGTCGGTTTAGATCTTTCGAAGTCTCTGAAAAACAGCTTTTTGCTTAGATATTTATTAGATAGCTATACGTCTTAAAAGACTAGAGTTTGTGGCCGAAAGGTGTCACAGTAATTACAGACCTTCCTTAGATTTTTTTTTTCAACTGAAACATCTTTTTGTGCATTTTCATGCACAAATCTGTCTGGTAGAATCAAGTTCCAACTCATGTCTGAAGCAGATCTTTCTGAGAGCTTTAATAGGAATGTCAGATACTAAATGTCAAGCTTGAAAAATAGTATGAAAAACTGCAAGCTTGGTGGAACAACCATTGTACCTAAAGCAAACCAATGAAATTAGTTGAGATGGCAACTTCTGTACCTATAATATTACCTGTTAATTGTGAGTGAAAGCCACTTAAAGGCTTAATGTTATCGGATTACATTTTGTGTCTGCTCAGAGGATGGACTTCTGACTTCCAAAGTACTAAGCTGCTGACAAAATAGAAAGGATGTTTTTTCCCTTGCCAGTCCACAGGTTGATGGTGGGGTTAACATGATTTCTTCTCTTTTCAGTCCTGTCTGCGGGTAGCAGGTCTGTGGGTGCAGTGCCACGCAGGGAAAATGGGATCCCAGTTCCAGTTTATGCAGCAATTCCATTTTTTCCCTAAATATGCAGGAAAACTGCAACTGTTTCTAGGGTTGCATTGGCACCTTGATCAAGGATTGATATAATTTGAAGAAAACCTTGAAGAAAAGGTTCCCCTTTGAAGGAGTGGTGGGAAGTCCTCAGGTAGCGTTCCTGTGCAGGCAGTGGTGCCAACTGGACCTTGTCAAAATATGGCCTCAGTTTCTTGCTTCAACTTGAAACTGTACGTGTGTGCTGTTTGCCCATATAAAATCTGTGGCTGTGCAGATTCCTCAATCAGTAACCATTACTTTGTAGAAAATCTTGATTTACAAAACTCTAGCAGTTCAGAAAGGGACTTTTCTCTCATCAAATCAATACCAAAGAGGACATGTGTTAGGCATATATTTGTGATTCGCCATCCTTGATTAATAGGGAGGCAGCATAGATAAAAAAGGCCAAAATTAACATTTTAATTATTAATATTGAAATTTAGAGCTCAAGAAAGTTATCTAGATAATAAAGATCTCATAAATTTATGCTTTTTCCTCAGTCAAAATAGTTAAATTTATGACATGATCATTCATTCTCTTTTCTTAATTCCTCACCCTTTTTCTTGCTCCACCCTGACGCTTCCCTCTCATGATGCAAGTGCTGTGTAGTCCACTCCGACTTGCCTTTCCAGTTAGTACAGCTTCTCCTTTGCGCACCAACCGTGTGTGTTGTGCAGGCTGTGTCAGAGGTTCCTCTCCGGTTTGGCTTCCGTGCTCTAACCTTTTGGCTGCTGCTTTGTGAACCAGCAGAAGCAGTGCGTGGTCTCTGCTTTCCCTCTCCTGTCTGCCCTGACACAGCTAAGTGTGTTCCTCTTGCGTGCTTGCAGTCTCAGCTTTCTTGCGTTTCTTTTCTCTGTTCCTCTGCCCAGTTCCTCCCAAATGACTGCCTGTTTCCAGAGTGCCTGCTTTCCAAGGGTTTGCCCTCGGCTTTGCCTATAATTTCTTCTTTTTCATGTATGTTTTATTTCTGGGTAATGTTGCCTGTAAATTCACCTGTTATACATGCTCAAATAATCTGCAGCTCTGGTTTTTATTCTCATTTTTTTTTTCTGGTTCAGCTACAGTTTCGTCCATTTACAAGTGTCTTGCTTGCAGTTCAGAATTCATACAGTCAGAACTTCTAGGGAGGAAGTAATTTATCTGAATGCAACACAGAGAGGAAGCCAGCAAAACGTTCCCAAAACAAAGTGTGGTGGCCAAAATGAAGGACGAGGAGAGCCATTTTGCAGCTCAGTGAGATGAGATCAGCAGGCTTTGAGTATGCTTGTAGGTACTGAAGTGCTTAGGAATCTAGTAGGGAAAAAAAAGATGACACAGTATCCTCAGTTTTTGGGAAGGAAGCCTAGAGGTTGAAGAGGGTAGGGCCCAGTGGGTCCAAAGCTAGTGAACTGCTGGGCCCTAACTGGTTTTTAGTGCTTTAACCTCATGTCTGATGCTTTTCAACTGTGTTTTCATTGCAGTGCCAGCCTTTGTGGTATTACTGATGCTAAGTTAGCTTTGATGTTAGAAGCTAGAGATCCCAGGTTCCCTGGTGATCCACATGGGTTGATCTGAAAGTCCTCCCCCCCACCACCCCCCCCAGCAGAAGGATTTACAGGCATTGCAGGAAGCAAAGGGACAGCCATCCAATTAAGGCTGATAGGAGTTGTGTTAGAGGCTTGTCTCTGCCAAAGTGTGCAGGATGGTTTGCTTGAATTGCCCCACAGTTTTTCCACGTGTGGCTGGTGTATGTTGTCTTTAGGTACTAATCTTGTGTTTTGATTTGCAGAACGATGCATAGATTATACTGTAATCCTTCTAATGAGCTGTTGGCTGCCTCAAAAAAGCAACCCAAATCAGACCAAAATCGTCTCAGACTAGGTCTGTGAGAATAGCTGGTTATTTTACTATTAGCTTCTGGTGCATGTAGTGGGGATGGTCCCATTTCATTATATAGGGTTATTGTGAAAATACAAATGTTACAATTTATATCTAAAATACATTGTGTATGGGAAGTTACAATATAACTTACAATATAAAAAGTTACTTTGTTGTGTAGTAATGCCATGTAACATGAGCCAAATGTTAGTTGGTAGGTTTAGGCTGCAGGGAGTTTTACAAGTGTTTGTAATCTTATGCCCAAAAGATTTGGGTAAAATCTGCTCAAGCAGTTGTAGTGTGGGGTATTTTGGCATTTTCTATCTTCAGGCTGTTGGTTTGTGGGTTTTTTGTTTGTTTTTCTTTAACTTTTATGTCATTGCTTCAGTAACATATATAAGAAAAAATGTTTCCTTTGTTTGGTTTTGTCTTTTTCTTTTCTACAGTAACTAATGTCCTTTCCACTTTTATCTCCCCATGTTTTGTTTTTCTTTTCCATCACCTTTTCGGGCAAAGTATAGGCAAACTTATGAAGCTCCTTATTTAGTCCTTGGGTCTGTTAAGGAGCAGGGTTCTGATATGGCAAAGCTCCCTCCCTCTCTACGGTCTTAATGGGTTCTTGAAGTCTAGTCAACCAGTTTCTGTAGGTTATGCTTCAAATCCGTTTTTGTTTGGGCTTTGGCTACAGCGTGTTTGATTTTTTGAAAAACCAAAACCCCTTCCTCTGCAGATTTGGATTTTGCTGTTGCTGAAAGGAAAGAGGAGCTGTGTTTTCTTACTGCAAAGGACACTTCTGCAGAACTGCCTGAGCTGGACTTGGCTCTGATAGAGAAAACTTCATAGCCTTCCCCTTAGTGGTGTTCTTTTCCTCCAGTATGGCTTCATCTGCTGTTGTCCATATGTTCTTGATATATAGGAACGTGACCTGACCTTCACTAGTGCCTGCAGGACCTTGGCTAATAGGAATTAAAGTAGCTGAAGTCTTAAGTTGTGCATTTTTTTTTTTGCTTAATAGAACCAAGAATGAGAGAAATACTGTTGTCTGCCTGCAGATTTAGGAGGTTGTCACAGCATTGGATGTACTCAATCTTTAGAAGGTTTATTTTTCAAGAATGAGCAGTGGAAATTTTCTTGAATACTCTGCCACTCAGCTGGCAAATCTTTCTTGCTGTAATTCTAGTGGTTTTTTTAATCCTCTTTTAATTGTCAGGAAGCTGAAATTCTGTTAATTAAGCATTAAGAAGAGAATTATGCCTCAGATTCTCTCTGTCTTGCGGTAGTCACTGATTGGAAAAGGGACTGTTGGTACAAATTGTTTCTTCAGACGCCCTGATCCAGTGTCCTGTTTGAGCTGTTAAAGGAGGAGTTTAGGGATGAGGTCTTGATGCAATTACTCCTGTATTAGTTAACTAATCTGTGGTGGACAGCCAAAACAGATTCCTTTAAAAAAATAACCAAACAAAAATTCCATGTAGTCTTTTTTTTTTAACTTATTTGCATGACCAGGTGTGTTATTGTATTGTGAAGAAATTTATGAAAGAATCCAGTGGCTTTCATAGTAAACATTTTTCTTTTTTAGGTTCACGCTTTTTAAAAAAAGAGGAATAGAACAGGAAAAAATGGCAGCAGAAACTCAGACACTTAACTTTGGGCCTGAATGGTGAGTTCTTTCTGTTTTGTGAGACTTTGGAACCTTGTCTAAAATTAAAAAAAACCTATTATGAATTTCTTCCCTTTGGGACTGAATTGATGATACTGAATGGGGTATAATGTCTTTGTTGTTCCATACTGCTTTGCCTTAGTCTCTGGCCTGTGACTGAAAGCAATATTACAAAATTAGTCCTTACTTTGTAGATGGGTGTTGTGTATGAAATGAGTTGGGGTTCATGTTATGGTGATGTGTAATGTTGACATTGCTGCCAAGTGTCTGAGGGAGGAATAATGTTTATGATCTTGGAGGTATACACAAAGTAAGTGAAGAAAACTTGCTTGGTCTTTCCATGCGATAACATATTAATAAGGAAGTCCTTACATTCTCCTTACTGGACTTGAATCTATAGGTAAGCAAGCTTTTTTTTTTATCATATTCCACATAGATTTAATATTGGGGAAAAGTGTGATTTTTTTTTTTTTTTTTAATGTCGTAGTCCCCTGCATGGGTGCACTGAAAAGTGTCAGGAAAAATGAACTGTTGTGTTAAAGAGAATCCATGATGATGTATAATCTTGTGTTGGCTGTTAGTTTTTCAGCTTGTCTGATGTGTGCGCTCCTGGGTTTTGCTAAAGAGCAATTGCCCAGGTGTGATTATTGTTCAGTATTTGTTGCGATTTCTTGTTAAAGTGTTGGTGACTGCAGTTACAAACAAGAATTCTGGGTGGTGTGGTTTCTGAAGAGGGATATGATCCTGAAGTGCGTAAATGGGAGTGTGGAGTGATTATAGGAAATATAATTGCTGCATAGCATGTGCTAGACTGTTACTGGAATAACGTATTCACTTCTGCTGACACATTTTTATACACAATGTTCAAAATTTGGAGAGTATTCAAGAAAGAAGACATGATTTGTGGCCTGCAAAACAATGACAGAGTTTGGTCTATTTTGTTAGACTGAAAGACAGTTAAAGGATGATTTTATCAGTGTCTATAAATACACCCACCAGGCAGATATCTTATGCTGGAGTGCTCTTTAGTGTAAGAGACAGACATGATTAGATTCATTGATGGATGGAAGCCAAAGTTACATTAAAAAAAAGAGAAGGGAGAAGGCAACTCTAAAAAAAGCACATATTTTAACAGTAACTTGGTTGCTGTGTCATAGTGAGGGGACTTCAGTCTCCATTTAGTTTAAAAACCAGATTAGATTGTATGACAGTGTATATTATACTTCTGTGAATTACTAGATTTTTGCAGGAATAATGGAATAAAATTCCAATACTTGTAATTATTCTTTTGGGTTGCAGTGCAGTCATGTCTGTCACATATGCTGTTGTATCACTTAATAGTGAAACTCTCGGTCACATTTGGTGTGTATTGAAGTTGAACACTCCACTGAGCGGTCTAGTCCTTGGAATAAGGCCTTCCCAGGTGGTTTTTGTTTGGAAGTGGTATGTAAAGAAACTGCCACTGGGTGGCACCAAACTAAAAAAATAAGATAAACGTTTGACTTGCAAATTACTTTTTCCTTTCTGTTTAAAGAACAATGAAACACATCGAAGCATGCCTCAATAATTAGGTGAAAGGTAGCCTCTGAATCGATATCTTAGTTTAGAGCACCTTCTTTTCCAAGGACTTTGTGACTGTTGAGAAGAGTTTTGGTTGTTTTACTTTTCTAAGATGCACAGCAAGGAGAATGTAGGAAAATGGTCTGGGTTTTATTTCTTGACACACATGCTTTTGTGAAAACATTCTTCAAGCTTAAAAATACAGGATATATGGGTAGCTGAGGAAATTATTATATGGAATGAGAGTAATCCACCTGTGGAGTGGGAATATTATCGTAAACTGTACGATGTTATCTGCAAGAAGTTGAGTAGTTCACCTGTGTGGGATGGGACCAAAATTAATAGCATATCTCTGTTACCATAAGTTAGATTACTGCTTGAACTGTCTCTGAAGTAATGTGTGTCTGTATTTTGTACATCTTATATTATTGAGACATTAAGCTAAATGATGTATGCGCTCTCTGAAAAATACCATTAATTTTAAGTTCTGGAAAAGGAATTTGGAGTAGTCTAGGGTTCCAGAGACACAAAAAGAAACCTCATTGCAAAATTTACTGTCCTATACTGTTTGTTAAACTTTGTGAAACATCTGAATAAACTTTTCCTTAGATTAATGTTTGTATTTCTGTCCCTAGTGTGGTAAGAATTCTTCTTGTCAAAGGAAGCTGTTCTCATTAATATCTGTGGAAGATTTACAGCTGAATTTTGGGCAGCCAAAGGCTTTAGGGGGGTAGCTAGCTTGCTATATAGTCAACATAAGAGTTATCCAGGGGATGAGTTGCACTCCTTGATGTGCTCATGGGAATATTTTTTTTCTTTATTTTTTCTGGATATGGGGAAAATGAGGAAAGGTCTTTCACTCTTCTTGTTGAAGCACCAACTTTTAGAGTTTTGAAGTTAGACTGTTAATGTCTTCACTTTCAGTACTGGATTTACTTACTTTGTGTCAAATCTGTAAATATGCAGAAGGATGATAGCATAGATGAAGGCACATTCTCCTCAATTCAATTTTCATTGCTTTTCTGTTTTATTTTAGGCTGCGAGCTTTGTCTAGTGGCGGGAGCGTGACATCCCCTCCTCTGTCTCCGGCTTTGCCAAAGTACAAACTAGCAGACTATCGCTATGGGAGAGAAGAAATGTTGGCACTTTTTCTAAAGGATAACAAGGTGAGCAGGAAGAGGAAGGAGGCCTGATGTGTGTGTTCCTAATGACAGTCTTGTGATTAGGAACAGTTATTTGTGTTTTGTGATTATGGACAAAGACGTGTATGTATCCCTTGGTAAAGAACTGAGGAGGTCCGATCGTGGTGTGGTTTTTTTTTGTGTGTGCTTATTTGGTCACACTCTTAATGTATTCATTATGTTTGATTCTTTTTGCTACTTTAGCAGCAGCTTCCTGTCCCCCCTGAGAATGAACAAAACCTGATTGTCATATTCAGTCCCAGCGGCATAGATGACTGAGGATTAGAGCTCAGCAGTGCAAATTTGCTTGCCGCAGTAGGATTTTATTTACTATAGTGTAAAATAGTTATTTGAATCAGCTTGAAAGTCAGGGAATAAATCATAATAGCAGATCAAACCAAGAGCTCACCATTTATATTGGCTTAACGCAGTTCCTGTAGGTAACCAGCCCAGTGAGAGCAGTCCTCAAGCTGATCACTTCTCTGGGACTTGGGCCACAAATACAATCCAGCACGTTGTACCAAAGAGCAGTGTAGAAAGTCAGGAACTTCCCTCTGGTTTAATTTCAAACAAAGGTTCTCGGTGATTGAAAAGTCACATTTCAGAGAGCATTTCAAGCAAATGATTCATACATTCTGCTTTTGTAAACATTGGTCTTTTCTGTAGATGGTGGCAGAGGCTGGTTTGTTGTTGCAGCAGGCAGATGGTAACTTGGAAGTCTGAATCCCTCTGAGAGCCTTACCCTTGAGTCAGGGAGGGACTGCAAGAAATCATGTCAGGTTGTGGCTTTAGCTTTGCATATAGATGTGCACATATACCTCCGTGTTCTTACCCTACTGTGCCTGTGCTGACATTTTCATACAGTGCTGGGAGCCCTGTGTTGCTTCAACGTGGATTCAAGGGCGTTGAATGTCAGAGGTTTTTCTAAAGCAGTTAAGTGTGTTATAGCTTAAAGCCATCCTTTAACATGCAGAATTATCCTGCTCTACTTTGAGAAGCTGTGATTTAAACCTTGATATTATGCTTGAATAAGTCAGCCTGTCAGATGTCATTGTTTTTCACAATTTGTGTATCTCAGATGATGCTAAGACCTCGTGTGATTAAGAACATCCTATTAATACCCTGTGTTACAGGAAGCTCTGTGATGGTTGTCAGTGATCCAAAAGAATACTCTCTCCCTGTGTGTTTGGCAGAAGGGAATTGTTATTAGAGCATGTCTTGCTTTTGATATACGTGTGTTTCCACGGTGTTGAGTAGTTCTAGTTATTGAGACTGAGAGGACTCTTTATAATGGTTCTAGTCAGCTACTAGACGTGATGTACTCTAGTCCTTTTTCGCTGTGTCATCTTCAATGTTTGGAAGCTGAAGATTTGTCACAGTTGCATCTCTGATTAAAAAATACTCTGATTGAAAGCAGGAAGACTTCTAGCATATACCCAAATGAAAAAAAACCCCAGACCCTAAGTTGCTTTGCTTCAGTTAAAACTGGGAGAAGTCTTTTTCTCTAGTATTGTGAAGTAGTTGTTTTTGAAACAGTTCTCTGTTGGCATTATTAGAGCTCACTTGGCTGTAATTGCAGCTTCTTGTCCATGTGCTCAGGGTCACATCCGCTGATGGAGCCTCCATCTGATGATGGACTGATTAAAAACTAGGGTTAAAATTTATTTTTATTTAGATCATCAGTGTTCCATACTTAATAACTTCATACTTACAGTTTCACTTTACTTTGGTTTACTCTCCTTGTTGGTTGTAAATTGGAAATGGTGAGTTTAAATCACTTACAGCCTCTCTGCTATGTAGGGTGGTTTTGTTAATATATAAATAGAAATCTGACTGTAAAAGTGTATTGAAGTTAAAGCAATACTTTTTAAATTTACCAGATGAAATTTCATTTGGTTCAGATTTGAGCTGCAGTAGTATGGAAGTTTGAATTGTGATGTATCAGATCTTTACACTTGACGTGTTACAGTTGTGGGTAGTGGATGCTTTGGATGTTTTGTCTAAAGAATTTTTCTTCTGAGTGGTATAAATTTGCAGTGGAGTTACCCCCACCGCTAGTAAATGTTATTGGAAGTACTGGTGTACTGGGCAGATGGAAGACAGAGTTGGCAGGATAAAATTTTTTTTTGTAAATCAAAGTACAGAGCATCATCCCTGAAATGGAGGTACTTAGGTATATTTGTATGCTATTTTCCTTTCATACAGATACCTTCAGACCTTCTGGATAAGGAGTTTCTGCCTATTTTACAAGAGGAGCCCCTACCACCACTGGCACTTGTACCTTTTACAGAAGAAGAACAGGTTTGTGTCCTTATTAAAAAAAAAAAATAAATCTGTAGTTTCTCATTAGTGTAAAGGCAAAATAAAGAATATGCCTCCATTAAAAACATAAAATTTGAAAGTAGTAGATTTCAGGGAAAGAAATGAAAGTGTGCTGTGTTAGCATAAAGTTTAAGTTCCATTCATGCTCAATTGTTATCTTAAATTTGAACAAACATTTTCATAGGATGTTCTGTTGATGTCAGACAGTCAATTTGTTAAATTCAGGATAATCTTCTGGGAAGCATTAGCTGTTTTTTTAAGTACACTGTTTCAGGTCAGTGAAAGTTTCTACAGTTTTTGGATGACCTTCTGTGTTGTAATGGAGGTGTCTAAGTTCTGTAACTTGAGTTTTGTGGTGTTTGGAGAAGTGTTGGAATTTTTTTGATTGTTAACATTTCTTAGGAAGGTTCAGTACTATTAACTACTTTGTATGAAGCAGTTGCTTGATTATTTTCCTTGTTTGGTCACTATAGGTGTATAATTGTTGAAAAAGATAAGAGTGAGAACAGGTAATCCACAAAGATTCCATTTCAAGGGTGACTGATCTGAGTAGTTTGAAAGCCCTTACTTTAAATTTAATTCCTAACAGAGAAAATTATCCATCTGCATCTGGATAAATGCCTCTGAGTTTTGACTCTGAATTGATTCCCTCTTTATGGCTATCAGAACTTCTGATTTTGCAGTTGGTCTCTGGTTTTTCATGTTTTTTAGCACTTTTCTTACTTCAGAATACTGTGGTTTGATTATGTTTGTTTCTTTTCTAATAGAAAGCCAAGTATTTTTGCTGTCTTGAGTGTAATTTGATTTTTGCAGGGGTGGGGAGTGTTAGGATTAGTTTCTTAAGATTTCAGAGTATCCTCCTTCCTTTGCCCCATGCTATTGTGTTCTTGAATTGTTCATCACCTTTTTGTACCTAGATATTCTGGCTTATCTTCACCTCTTCTGGAATTCCTTCCTCGTCGGAGTTGATTCATATTTCTTGTGCTGTTTTAGGGTGCTGTCCTTTGACAGAAGATGCTAATAGTTTAGCTTTTAAGCAGCAGTCATATTCATGTTCATGTGAATACACTGTAGGCACTTCATGTCATAGTCTCAACAGGCAACTGAGGTTGAGAATATGCTTTTATTGGAAATCTTAGCCCAGCTCCCGTTATTCAGTGAGGACAGGAGAGATCCAGGCAGCAAGCCCAGGAGGTGGTTGGCCAGCCATACAGTAGCACACCAGAATACTGAACCTCGGTGTTCATAGAATCATAGAATGGCCTGGGT